ACCTGAATTTCTTGAGTTATACAGCTCCGAGGGATCTCAAATTTGGATATGTTGTAGTTCACAAGCTGAGGAACAACTTCAATGAAGAAAGCATACCGATCTGAACAAGAGAAAATGGAGTTTCGAAGCTCACAACAAATCTGACGGGTTGACAGAAAAATAATAACCAGTCATTCATCATACCTGAGTTTCTTGAGTTATACAGCTCCGAGGGATCTCAAATTTGGATATGTTGTAGTTCACAAGCTGAGGAACAACTTCAATGAAGAAAGCATACCGATCTGAACAAGAGAAAATGGAGTTTCGAAGCTCACAACAAATCTGACGGGTTGACAGAAAAATAATAAAACCAGTCATTCATCATACCTGAGTTTCTTGAGTTATACAGCTCCGAGGGATCTCAAATTTGGATATGTTGTAGTTCACAAGCTGAGGAACAACTTCAATGAAGAAAGCATGCTGATCTGAGCAAGAGAAAATAGAGTTTCAAAGCTCACAACAAATCTGACGGGTTGACAGACAAATGATAAACAGTCACTCATCATACCTGGATTTCTGGAGTTGTACTGCTCCGATGGCTCTCCAATTTGGATATGTTGTAGTTAAGGAATTAACGAACAACTTTCATGAAGACAACTTTGTGATTCGACCTACAGATGATGGTGTTATGTTGAAAAACAATTCCGGTTGTTAGGGAAAATGAAAAACAATTCCACCAAAGAAACATCATTATGATGTTTCATCATTATGGTGTTTTCATCATTATGATGCTTTCATCATTGTGATGCTTCCATCATTGTGATGCTTCCATTATGATGTTAATGCACCAACGGTTACACCTTCTGCAATTCCACTTATTCGGGCCTAGCAACCTTCATCAACAAAATCTATATGAAGAAAAAGTCCGGGGCTACCACTTAGAAAACAAAAGAATGAAGTTTTGGTACTTACGACATGGACTATTAGCAAGACACCTCATTCGTCAACTCCCTCGACTAGAGACTTGGGGGACTCCCACCATATGCTACTACGCCTTGGTACTCAAAAGTTCGTGAACTACTCAGTGACTTGGATTTTTCAAGTCTCCAACCGAGAAGTTTTCCTCACTCGGGAAATTAAGGGAACACTACCTCAAACTACATGCTTCACTCACAAAGCTTCAACAATACAGGTTTCAACAAAAGCAAAAATTCAAAGAACTTTATGAAGAAGGCTTTGGTGTATTTAACACAATATGTTGAAATGAAGCAAAGCTTATTTATTAATATTTTCGATAAGCCACAAATATGTACATATACATGAGTCAAAATAAACAAACAAAAGGGAGCCTTCACAAAGGTTGCTTAGGGGAAGTCTCAGCAGTCGGTAGAGCCCCAGAAAGAGAAAGCACCGGAGGGTGGTTATCCGGAGCCTCAGTACTTGACAAAACCCCAGAAGGAGGAGGCATTGGAGGTTCATCATTTGAAGCTTCATTACCAGGTACAGCCCAGAGGACGAAGGCAATAAATGCCTTTGGAACAAACCCACAAACCGCTGATGATCAAGTAAAACCTTACCATCAGATTCCTTCATCTGGTCAAGCTTCCTCTTCATGTTTGTAGCATAGTCATGGGCGAGCCGGTGCAACTGCTTATTCTCATGCTTGAGCCCTCTAATCTCCTGTTTGAGACTCATCACTTCAGCAGCCAATGATTCAACTTGGCGGGTTCTAGCAAATAGGCGTTGGGCCATATTAGACACAGAACCTGCACACTGAACACTAAGAGCCAGAGAGTCCTTAACAGCCAACTCATCAGACCGTTTGGAAAGTAGTCTGTTATCTTTGGGAGTGAGAAGGTTCCTGGCCACCACTGCAGCGGTCATATCATTCTTCATCACAGAATCCCCAACGGTAAGAGGACCAGTAGGGGATATGAAGGATGGGCGCCATATGTTGTCTGGAGAAGGCGTGGCTGTCTCTTCTCCAAGGTTCAAGTCAAAACGACGGTCGGAGGGTCCAGACATTTTCAAATGTGTTGAAGAGGGAAGAGGTCAGACAAATCAAGATCTTAGAAGTGCAAGAAATGAGCTTCTACTGGTAGAGATTCAAGTGTGCTGTGGAACTTAATGTCCAGCCTCTATAAAAATCTGCACTCGACGGAGCTTCAGAAATCGAAGAGGCGTTTGCTTTCTCAAAAGCTGGGCTGCTCAGAGACCACGAGGGCCGATCTCAGAAATCGAAGAGGCGTTTGCTTTCTCAAAAGCTGGGCTGCTCAGAGACCACGAGGGCCGATCTCAGAAATCGAAGAAGCACCTGCTTTTTCAGCCTCGTCAGCACCTGTCACATGCACAATCAGCTTTGCGGAAATTACGGGCACTCTGTCGAAGATTTCTGGTGAAGTAGAAAGCACGTGAATCTTACTGTTCAATCACCGCTCTCCATATGCACCATCAACTCCTCGGGTACCACATATAACTTTGTCAAAGATCTCTGACAAAGTTTAGGCACGAGAATTTCGAAGTTCCAGCTACCCTACTATTACCCATAAGGGTAAAGGAACAGCACCACTGCTTGACAACTGGAAAGTCCCTATGTGTGTCGACCTCCGTGTTTTGCGGCAAGACAGGTTGGCAAGAACGTCCAACCTTTACTCACATTCGAGAAAAGACTCCCAACATAATTACTTTCTAAAAAATCCGGAGTAGCACCGCTTTCCGAATCTCGAGAGTCAGATCCTCGACGGGATTGCTTGTTCGAAAACCGAAGAGGCACAACTCTCAGAACTTCGAGAGCCAGATTTCCTTAGATAAAGCTTGTCTGTAATCTTCACACGTAACATCAGCTTTCCAGATACCACATACCACTTTTTCAAAGTGCTCTGACAAAATTAAAACACGTGAAGCTGGCAGCTCCCACTACATTGCTGTGACCAAGAAGGGTAAAGGAATAGCATTACTACTTGTTATTGGGAAATCCCTATATACATTGACCTCCCTCCTCAACGGACAGGCAAACCTGCAAAAATGCTCAACCCTTTCTCGCATTCGAAAAGGCACCCTCAACATAACCTCTCGAAATACTCAGCTTTATTTCCCCCCGATAATGCCTCAGCAAATAAGCCACACCAAGAACAAGAGTATCTCATATCATCAGGGTCGAAAGCAAGAGTATCCCATATCATGCTTTCTCCCTGTCTTTGTCTTTGTCCTTGTCCACACCTGCAGGACAAGGAGAAAGAGAGCAGTCAGTCGGAACCTGAAATCAAACCTCCAATTTGGAACTGACTGCCTGGAGCCTTTTCCTGGTTGCTTACTTAGCATTGCTCTCGAGTACTCATCCTCAACTGCTGTCAAGGTCACGAATTCCACCGGCAAATACCTCATGACAGTTGATCAGATATTGGCTCTTTACACTGAAGCTGCCAAGCGTGGATGAGTCACTATGAAGGAATGTTCTGAAGGACCATTTAAATGCAAAGGTTGCACACCACTTCTGCCATGCAAAAGATTGAAGCAGAAGGTTCAACGGTGAGCTGAAACAGATCACTACAGCACGACACCTTTCCATACCACATTCATTATTCCGTCAACAGCAAAAGTATCCCATATCATCAAGGTCGAACATGCTCTAGATTTGATGGACTTGTTTTGACCCTCAAATTTTTGAGTCGGCCTTATACTCTGAATGGCACCAGAAAACCCTCTAGCACAGTTCAAGAATAAGCCTGTGGAAAGTTACTTCTTCAAAAGCAAAAGTATCTCATATCATCTCTTATCCATTTGCTTCTCCTTATCCTGGCAGTTGAATGAGAGACAATGAGAAGGAGAACAATCAACCGGAAGCCGAAGTCAAACCTCTGATCCTGGGTTGCTTACTTGGAAGTTTGACTGCTTACCTTGTCTGTCACCTCTTTCGGCAGATCTCCTAGCTCGGCGACTTGGGGGACTCCTACTATAGGGTTTGTATCACACTTGACTAAGCCCGAAACTACAACTAAGCTTCAAGTGAAATTGATACATTACCTTGTGCGTCAACATCAGCTAAATACACCATTCCCGGATGGAGGAAAGGTACTTCCAGAGAAGGGCAGATGAAGATCAGACCACACTTCGGTACTTAGAAGTTTCGTGATTACTCAAGGGATTGGATCTTGCAAGTCCCCAACCGAGGAGTTTCCCTCACTCGGGAACTTAGGGGAGCACTGTTTGTACCATACTTGACCAATCCCGAAACTACCGAGCATCGGCCAACACTATACTGTCAAGGACCCAGAAGAGTTCCCCTCCGACCAGGAGGCCAATCACTACTCGACACGTGTCAAGATTAGAAGCCAATCAGAGCGCAGCACATGTCAACATCAAGAACCAATCATAACATGACACATGTCAATGTGACAAAGCTACAAGTTTTTCTATAAATAGGGGTCATCCCCCCACAATATTGCCTAATGCCATTTTGTGTTAAATCATTCACAAGAACTCACTAAATTGAGAGCTTGATCCTTTGTACTTGTGTAAGCCCTTCACTACTAATAAGAACTCCTCTACTCCGTGGACGTAGCCAATCTGGGTGAACCACGTACATCCTGTGTTTGCTTCTCTGTCTCTATTCATTTACGTACTTATCCTTACTAGTGACTGAAGCAACCAAGCAACCAAGCGAATGTCACAAAACCTGACACTTTCTGTTGTACCAAAGTCTTCGCTGATTTTGTGCATCAACAGACTTGAATCAGATCTGTAATGAGAAAGCTACGCTCTGTTAAAGTACGTTAACTACATGTATTTTTGTACACGCACGTGCAAATTTACAGTGTCGAAACACTGTCAAAAGGATAGATTTTGTATAATTAAAATTGTACAAATCCATCTAATCCCTAAAAGGGATCCGGTCCCCTTCTTTCACACCCATCAACCATCAAACTTTTGTTTTTTCCTTCTTTTCCTCTCCACCACTCACATCCTTTCCTTCCTTGTGGCACCCAATCACTTGTTCCCTCAATTTGGTATCCAATCAATGACCTTCACACTCACAATAGCCACCAATAAAAAACTCAACTTTCTCTTTCTCTCTCTCCTCCGAAGGTCTCATTTTCACTCTCTCGCTCTCTGCAACAAAGAAAAACCACCCTCAAAAGTCACAAGCGAGACCTGCAACCTACACCATTGAATCCCCCTCAACCCCACGAACACAACCATGCAACCAGATTCGAGAACGGATGAGTTTTGACTCACTAACTCGGAAAGTCTGACTCAGTGAGTTTTGGTTCAACGATTTTCAGGCCGTTCACGGCTTAGGTAAGCCTCGGTAAATCCTAAGAACCTTCATTTCATTCATATGGGTTGATATTGACCTCGTGTTCATGTTTTGAACGAACGTTTTAGCACAGAAAGCTCGAGGGGGGAAAGACTGCTCAGTTTTCCAGCAAAGGAACTGTGACCATTTGGTCACTTTCAACTCATTTTTCCGACCAACCTCGACTACGACTGGATTCCTAATAGGTATAGACTTGTTCTCTATATTCCTAACTTCAAAATGGATTTTGAATGATTGAGTTTGATTAACTATCGAGTTAGGAATCAACTCTGAAAGTTGAGAAAAAATTCCCAAATTTCTGAAAAAGTTTGATCGTGGCCATTTGGCCACTTTTAGGCCAAATTCCTTGACAGCACGGACCATATTTAAACTTTATGTGATCATATATCGTTTTACTACATTCCTAGCTGCAAATTGGTCTTTGTAGAATTAAATTTGATTAAGAATCGAGCTCGTTAGGAGCTCTGAAAGTTGGACCTTCAACCTACAAAACGCAGGAGCTTGTGAGAAAGGCGAGTACAGCCGTACTCGTAGGCGCATGGGCACGAGTGGAAAGCCCAGCATGGTCGGCATGTGCAGCGCATGGCTGCCAGTGCAGCCACTTGTGGAGGCGCGTGGCGGCGCGTCCAGCCTCCGATTGACCTTCTGTCTATTTGTGTAGGTCCGTGATGTCGAGTAGATCGATTTCATGTATTCAAGCCCTATGTTTGAGCAATCTACAGAGGTTTTATTTAAGTTTCCGTGTATGTGTTATTAAACTAAGTTAATAAGTAATTTCACATATAGGGGAAACGTATCCCGAGGACGTACGAGGTCAAGCAAGGCTAGGAGGCTTCATTTCGACTACGTATCTGTGAATGGGCAATTTATTTTATACCTATACATATTGATAGTTTCCCTAAATGTGTAGTTACTTCACTTTTTCGCTTATATTGCCAAGTATCCGTTATTATGATATTAAATGTGATAAATGCTGTTATATGGTTGAGATATTATTGTCATGACATTCATACACATTTGTACATGTTCATCTTCCTGCACCGGTGTTAGTACTCGCCCCAGGGTCAAGGCCAGTCCTTCACGTGTATGTTCACATCGCACCGTTCGCTCTCTTTGGATCCAAGTTAGGTGTCATTCTTGTCTGGTAGATTGCATTAGGCAATCCGACTTGTATGTGACCGTGCTCCTACACCAGCTTTCACGTGATCGTAGTACTAGAGCATATTGATTACACCCAGTCTTGTTCGTGTCAGAAATTATCTGTTCGAACTCGTGTGTCAGCTTAGATGGATGAGCACTTAGCTATACTTGATTATCACATGATTTTATTACTGTGGCATTTATTTATCATGACTTGACATATTTCTTGTTATAATGTTGTCGTATTATTGTTTACATACTTACATAGTATGTTTTAAGGAAACTATACTTGTTTTACGGTGATGGGTTATTATATTCGAAAATAAAGGTTTTTACAAAACGTTGTTTTGCTGACCCACTCAACTTTGTTTTTCACCCTTCCAAGTTTAGTAGCTTACGTATTTACAAGGATTCTGGAAAATCTCAGGAGATGGTTACCTTCAGTGGTATAACCTTCATCCTATTCATTATACTGTCTTATACTCTAACATCACGTGTGAAAATGGTTCAATCCCGCTCACCCGTGCACTCTTTTGTTTAGGCACTTTTAGGTTTAAATTTATTCACATTCTTTTTTCACTACACTACACTTTATGGCTTCGTCACCCTTCAGGTGTCAGCCAGCACAACTCGATTCGGAGTCCAATGGAACTTTTCAGGTTAGGGTGTGTCACTACTCCATGCTTCATTTGGCCCAAAGATGTGCAACAAGATCATGTTGTAGGTACTTGTTTATGGCACGGGAACATATCATTATATAGCGTCTCATGTACTCATTTATAGAGATACTACCGAGTTGGGGTTGAAGTAGTTGTTCATCAGATTGGCATCTGTCATCATTCTGTTTCGTGGTTTGTAAGAGCGACTAGCAACAGAGCCACCCCATTGATGTTGTTCCTCAGTTGGCTGACACACCATGGTCGCAACCATGGCTGCTGCTCTTTTTTGTTTGTTGCGCCTTACTTGAACTTCTTTATCAGACTCCTTATCTTCTCAACTCATTTGCGCCCATTTTACATCCAATTTGGAATTGGATGAGGACCCCTAGTTGGAATTCATTGCAAACTTGAATTGAAATAGATTGAATTGAAATAGATTGACTTCAAAGTTGTGTGAATTATAACCTAATATCCACCTTATTTATAGCAAAAAAAAAAAATTCAAATCTAACGGCTACCTGACGTCATGCTAACGTCACTTAGCCATTGGATTTGAATTTAAGTTGTAGTTTTTAAATAATAAATTATGTTTGGCCCTATGGCCTTTGACCCTCGGTTGGAGATGATTTTTTGTGACAGGGCTAAAACGAGTCATATGGCCCTCGGTTGAAGATGGAGGCAAATATGACCATGTACGGTTCATTAAAATATTAATTTCTTGGAGGGCCAGAGGGCTAAAACGAGCCATCTGGCCAGCCTTCGGTTGGAGATGGCCTAAGACCATCTCCAACTGAAGGGTCCAGAAGGCCAGAAGGCTAAAACGAGCCATTTGGCCAGCCTTCGGTTGGAGATGGCCTAAGACCATCTCCAACTGAAGGGTCCAGAAGGCCAGAATGCCGAAAAACTCCGGAAAACCGTCTCTAACCGAGGGCTAGTGGGCCTCACTGGACAAGAAAGGGCCAAATGGCCAACCAACTGGCCCAAATGAGCCAGCCAGCCAGCCCCGGGCTAGGCCAGAAAATTGAGCATTCCTATCGGATATAACCGACAGGAATTCTAGGCCAAATTTTCAAATACAACGGCTAGTTGATGTTAGCTAGCCGTTATGTTTGAATTTTTTTTTTACTGTTTTATTATTATTATTATTATTTTACAATTTTTTTTTCTTATAACTTCAGTTTTTTTTTTTTTTCTGTAACTTATATTTTACAAAATTTGTTTCATATATTTTTTTTTAATTCTATTTTTTTCCTATAACTTCTATTTTACAAAATTTGTTTCATAGTTTTTTTAAGTTCTATTTTTTTCTATAACTTCCTAAGCCATTATAGAACATTAAATTAAATTAAGTAACATGAAATAATAAATTATAGAACATTAAGTTGTAGTTTTTAAACATAAGTTATAGGGAGTTATGTTTAAAAACTACAACTTAATGTTCTATAATTTATTATTTCATGTTACTTAATTTAATTTAATGTTCTATAATGGCTTAGGAAGTTATAGGGAAAAAATAGAATTTAAAAAAACTATGAAACAAATTTTGTAAAATAGAAGTTATAGGAAAAAAAATAGAATTTAAAAAAAGATATATGAAACAAATTTTGTAAAATAGAAGTTATAGGAAAAAAAATAGAATTTAAAAAAAGATATATGAAACAAATTTTGTGAAATAGAAGTTATAGGAAGTTATAGAAAAAAAAATAGAATTTAAAAATAGAAGTTATAGGAAAAAAAATTGTAAAAATAAAAAAAATAAAAAATAAAACTGTAAATAAAAATTAATGGCTAGCTGACGTCAGCTAGTCGTTGCATTTGAAAATTTGGCCTAGAATTCCTGTTGCTTATATTCGACAGGAATGCTCAATTTTCTAGTCCAGCCCGGGGCTGGCTGGCTGGATCATTTGCCCCAGCCGATTGACCCTTTGACCCTTTTTTGTTCAATGAGGCCCACCCCACGATCCCTTTGGCCTAGCCTTCGGTTGAAGACGATTTTCGGGTGTTTTTCGGCCCTCTGGTCCTTTAGACCCTTCGGTTTGAGATGGTATTAGATATCAGTTCCTTTATGACTCACCTGGACCTATTTGTAAATGTTTAGAGTAGGACCTCCTTAGAACATTTCCGGTTGTTTTGGTAGATCAAGACGAAATTGTTAGAGCCGATGTTCCTTAAGAAAGGGCAGAACTTAAATATAGTGTTGAACAAGTAGGTGTAACTGTTGAGTTCTATGGCGGTGAACTCAACGGAGTAGTTATAATGATCCCGCCACTATGAAAAAATATGTTAGACGTGCTCAATTGGGTGAGATTTTTTAATTAGATCATGCTATGTTGAAATCCGATGGTGTTTTTCTTAGCAGTCCAAGGGATTGGTTTACTTTTGGACATGCTTCATTTGCTTTGCTCTTCTTTTTCAGACACATTTGGCATGATGCTAGAACTTTGTTTGAAAATGTTTTTGTTTCGATCCAGATTTAGATGCTCAAGTTAAATTGGAGCATTCTAAAAACTTGGAGATACAACTATTAAGAAGACAAGCAGTCTGATACAATAAGCTTGTGGCCCATCATATGTTGTTTTCCCTTGGGCTTAGCTACAATTATTCCAGAAAGAGCAAAACATACAAGCATGTTCCATCAACGTGTGTACAACCATTCTTCTATCTATTCCTAACTTTTTTAGTCTCAAAACGACAAAAAAGGTAAAAGAAAAAAGCAAATAGAAATTGCTAAATATTGCTAATGATTGAACTAGTGGGATTAATTGAACATATATGTAGCAACTGGCAACTAGTACTCTCCCACATACGAGTTTTCAATGAAAATCCAACCCTATCAGCTAGATTTTCTTTTCCAGATCAACACGATACGATACCTATCCTTATCCTTTCAGCATATAACAAATTATATAATCCAGGCTTTAACTTTTTCTCTACAGTACAATAATTTTATTTTATGATAAATGATGTTAAATATGATTCATGCATGTTGAGTGATGTTATTAAATTTAAACTTAATTGAACATGACTGACACACTTCAGTATTAATCAACTATTTACATATGAACTATATCATTTACTCTTATTATAATTCGTGAATTAATAATATACGACTGTCACATTAAAAAAAAAAATTCTCAATATCATTCAAAATCCATGATTGTCATACCACATCATTGTTTTGATGATGTGGTGCAGCAGTGATTGGGGGCCTTGAGCCTTGTTTGTGGGGTGTTTTCAAGCGGAATTGGATCCTTTCTTGAGCACAAGGAGTGAATCTTCCTGACCAACACATATGGACCGTTAGATAAAAATCCAACGGCTACAAACAGGAGATCCATTTAAAGTTATAATAAAATCGTTTGATGAAAATCCAACGGCCCACTTGTGTTAAGGATCCGCTCCTTGTGCTCAGAAGATGATCCAATTCCTTTTCCAGCCTCCTCCCAAAGAATGGAGAAGTGGGGTGAGACTGATTCACCAGAGCCATGATTATAGTTGATTAAGTTAAAAATACACTACCCTTTATACATTAATGTGTATGAAGTGTGCAATGTCCAGGTTTTTCTTCTTCCTTTAGAGCCGCCCATCAAAGCAAACAACTTACAGTCTTTTCTTTGTCTCTTTCTGTGTCTATTTGTGTCCCTCTGAATCTGGGTCATGGAGGCGGGAAACCGTGATGGATTTCTCCTGCATGAAAACCACGACAAATTACATGACGATGACGTGCGCACCTCATTTTACACGGCTTGCTCTAATGGACTAAATGACTTTTCAGGTACGTTCTTCGTCTTGATCCGCTTTCTGTTCGGATGTGAGCATCAAATTCAAAATCAATAAGCAATAATAAGAGAGATCGAGTTGATCTAAATTTATGTTTTCGTTCAAACCCTAGCTGGTTTGGGTTTTTCTTTTGGGACATTATTTCATCACAATTATTTTCTTTTGGGAACTTTAATGAAAAATTTCCAGTATTGTTCATTTTAACGAAAAATCATATTTTTACACTAAAAAATTAATTCTGATACTATTCATTTATTCTTTATTTTGTTCTTATCGTTAAACTTAAAATTTTCAAATCATTTTTATTAGTTTTCCTTTTTCTTTTTCTGCTTATCTATGAAATTTGAGGACGGCAAAAAATAAACATGCATGAGTATGTAGGAGAAATGTTTTTTTTTTTTGCTCTCTTTGTTTGTAGATAAATGCTAAAGATATTCTTTCAAAAGTGAAATTTTCCATAGATTATCTGCTAAATAACATTTTATTTGCATTGGGACTCCTGATCCCTTTGGAATCTTTGATTTGCAGATCCACAGACTGGACGAAATTTTATAAAGCCATTATTTGATTTAATTTTTCTTCCATGACTAGTTTAAAGTAGTGCATGCAGCACGCCTAATGAGGCTTCTGACCTAATTGTTTTTATTAATCTAAACACAGATATGAAAAGAAAAAAAAAAACAAACAAAGAGAGAGAGAGAGAGAGAGAGAGAGAGAGAGAGAGAGAGAGAAAGATATCATGTGTTTGAAAAAGAAGTAAGGTAGGTAGCTTCACCAACCCACTATACTCCCTTTATATCCAATGAAAAGGGTTTTGTATCCAAATGTCAGCCTCTTTTTGGAGTCAAGAACTGCATATAGCTGCACTGCAAGAGCAACTTGAATTATATGAGTAGAATACAATGTTAGACCATCTCTAACCAAACGAGGATCAGATGCTCGTTTTAGCCATCTGATCCTCTAAGATATTAATATTTTAATAAATATTACATTATCATATTTGCCTTCATCTCCAACCGAGCGCCAAAAGGCCATATGGCTCGTTTTAGCCCTATCACAAAAATCGTCTCCAACCGAGGGTCAAATATAATTTATTATTTAAATTTAATGTTATTTAATGTTGTTTCATGTTACTTAATTTAATTTAATGTTGTATAATGGCTTAGAAAGGTATAGGAAAAAATAGAATTGTTAAAAAAAAAAATTTAATTTGTAAACAAAAAAAAGGCCTACCATTCCTGTCAGATATAATCGATAGGAATAAGTACAATTCTGTTGGATATAACCGACAAAAATAATGAAAATTCTGGCTAGCCCGGGGCTAGCTGGCTGAGTTGGGCCAGCCGGTTGGTTCTTTGACCCTTTTTTGTTCAGTATGGTCCACGAGCCATTTGACTTAGCCCTTGATTAGAGACGATTTTCAAACTATTTTTAACCCTCTTGACCCTTTAGACCCTTCGGTTGGAGGCTCCCAGAATATTGGCTTTTATACAGCAGCAGAGTTGGCATGATACAATAAATTATTCAACCTTCCATCTGTTTTTCTATTACTGTTTACAAATTATGTTGCACATGCTGTTCTGTTGTTTTCATATAAAAATTATCAGTGGCAAAGATAAGTCTCTTTCAATAATAACGTAAGTGGTGGTCTTCCTCAGTCTGCACGTCAGTTTTGATTGAGGAGAAAGACTTACATGAAATGGGTTTATAGTTACGTGGTGTGTTTTTTTTCAGTAATGCATTATTATGTGTAAATTTTTTTCTACATGACAATGTATTACTAAATTGGAAAATTATGTGACTATGAATTCATTCCATGTAAGTTGTTCTCTCGATCAAAGGCCAAAATCTTGTAATTAAGCCTTCTGTTATATATTATTATAACTTCCACCGAATTAACTTAATGAATTTTAATGAGGAGAAAACAAAAACAGTACACAATTTGAAAACTATTTCTAAAACTCCATATATATACACATATCACTACCCCTGTTTACACATATTGCACGTGTCTGGATTCATTGTTGCTCTTCCTTCTGTTATATATTATTATAACTTCCACCGAATTAACTTAATGAATTTTATTAAGGAGAAAACAAAAACAGTACACAATTAGAAAACTATTTCTAAAACTCCATATATATACACATATCACTACCCCTGCTTACACATATTGCATGTGTCTGGATTCATTGTTGCTCTTCACTCCTAGTTCTTTTGACAACTCTCTCTCTCTCTCTCTCTCTCTCTCTCTCTCTCTCTCTCTCTCTCTCTCCATGGATGCTGATCCTTTAGAAAAATCATCATCCTTGAGCTTGCCTCTTATTCTTGGTGAGGGGCAGCATGAGCAAGCTGGAGGCAAGGTAGTAGAAGAAGTAGAGTCAAGCTTTCATCACCAAACTACAGCCACAACCTCCTTCCTCAAAACCTGTTTCAATGGACTCAATGCACTCTCAGGTAATTATCTACTTCTTAATTAATTATGTCAAATTCGTCTTCTCAAATTATTGTTATTTTTTTAAATAAGCTTAATTAAGGCATAAACTTATCATCTTAACAACTTTTTTGGTGTTCCTTGCTAGAATATATTGCCTCTTCATTTTGCACTCAGCAAGTTTAGTTATGAACAAATTTATTTTATTTTTCATACTGTTAGTCTGATGATAGCTAACCTCATCTGAGACTATAGATGGTGATTTTCACACTCTTGTTTTCTCCTTTTTGCACCTCTCCTTTTTCTTTGGTCCCTTGATTCTCCTTTGATTTATTCAATCTAAAGGCTAGAAAAACGAAGAGTGGATTTGGAGAAAAGTGGGGTGTGAAAATCACAACCCAGGTTCATGTGGAACCATGACATCTGATCTGTGTATGATTTCATATCGTTACATTTGCATTTAAAATGTTCTTCACTTCTAGCTCAAGAAAAGTAAGGTTTTAATGCCCAAAATTGTGCTCTTTTCGGTTTTCAGGAGTAGGAATACTGTCAGTTCCTTATGCACTAGCATCAGGAGGATGGCTAAGCTTGATCTTCCTTTTCTTAATTGCGGCTTCAGCCTTCTACTCGGGTTTGTTAATCCAGAGATGCATGGATGTGGATTCTGATATAAGAACTTATCCGGACATAGGTGAACGCGCATTCGGGAAGAAGGGAAGAATACTGCTGTCGATTGTCATGAATGTAGAACTGTACTTGGTTGCAACGGGGTTCCTAATTTTGGAAGGAGATAACTTAAACAATTTATTTCCTGGCGTAGAATTAGACGTGGCCGGATTAAGAATTGGCGGAGAACAGTGCTTTATAATTGTTGTTGCCCTCATTATTCTGCCAACAGTTTGGTTAGATAACCTGAGCCTTCTTTCTTACGTATCTGCAAGTGGAGTTTTAGCCTCTGCCATCATCCTCGGTTCGATTTTGTGGACTGGTGCCTTTGAAGGAATTGGATTTCATGAAGAGGGCACACCACTGAAGTGGAATGGAATCCCTACGGCTATTAGCTTGTACGCGTTTTGTTACTGCGCGCATCCGGTGTTCCCGACCCTCTACACTTCAATGAAAAACAAACGCCAGTTCTCCAATGTAAGCAGAAACTTGTTACCAAGTGACATTCATTCTATTTTGTTTCAGGATTTTTATCAATCTGTTGTTTCCTTGTTGCAGGTTCTTCTCCTGTGCTTCATCTTGTGCACCATCTGTTACGCATCAATGGCAGTTTTCGGGTACCTAATGTTTGGATCTACGGTTCAATCACAAATAACTTTAAATCTCCCAACACACAAAATCAGCTCAAAAGTCGCGATATACACCACGCTGATCAATCCCATATCCAAATATGCTTTGATGGTTACACCAATTGTGAATGCTGCAAAGAAGAGGTTCCCGAGTCACTACAACAAGAGACTCATCAGCATGCTAGCCAGCACCACCTTGGTGACGAGCACCGTTATAGTAGCTTTGGCTATACCATTTTTCGCTTATCTCATGTCACTTGTCGGAGCATTTTTTAGTGTAACAGCTTCGATTATATTGCCGTGCTTGTGCTACCTTAAAATTTCTGGTATTTATCGACGCCTCGGATGTGAGATGTTGATGATAGGGCTTATATTACCACTGAGTGCTGCAGTTGTTGTATTCGGCACTTACACATCTCTAGTAGATATAATAGGGCACTTGTAAACGGATTCTCTTTGTGGCCAATATATTTGTTTCGGTGGCAGTTTTCAAATTCATTCCTCCTTTCTTTCGGGATAGTGTATCTGCAAGCTGCTGCAGTTTGTACCAATCTGCATAGAATGATAAAACAGACTCAGAGTTTGAGAGGTCTAGGGTTTGTAAACAAGAGTGTTTTTAGTTATTGAAACTACAGATGCTTCCTTTATTTTGTTTCTTTGGGATCGAAAGGATTCTTTATCGAAGAAATTCATTTGATTAATGATCAAATAACTCGGAGAAGACCCTTTCCAGAATGTAATGCATTACATCTAATATGATTGAAAATTCATCGTTTCTTCGATTCTACAAATCACAATTCGAGATACACAGAGGAATATTATCCATGACGGACAACACTTTCGAAAAATCAGCAATGCGCTATTCCATTAATGAATTTTGAAATAGAAGAGGTTACATGATTACTGATTTTGATTACATGTTAACCAACTTCATGTGCAAGCTCAATACATCTAGTATCTGGTAGACATCCTCATAATCAGCTTGGGAATCAAAGCCAGAAAAGAACTTATGGATAGACCCGCCTAACTCAACGCAACTCTCCCCCGCCATCTTCTTCATTTGTCTTTCTTTCATAACCATCCTCAAATTTGCGGCTTTGTCCCACATCCCAACTTCGGCAAACATGTTCGCGGCCATCACAAGATTCCCACCCCTCTTTGGCTCCAGTTCAAGCAACTTCTCTCTTACTTTGTTTCCTACCCCTTTGTTATCCTTGGCACTATGAGTAGTGCATGCACTAAGCAATGTTCTCCATATAACGGGATCGGGGTCAAGGGGCATGCTCATCATGAAGCTATAAGCCTCGTTGAGACGGCCAGCACGACCTAAGATATCCACCATGGCACCATAGTGCACCATCATGGGTGTAATCCCATGTACGTGTTCCATATCATTAAAGAATCGGTACCCATCCTCCACCAGTCCAGCATGGCTACAAGCACAGAGAACCCCAAGAAAGGTGACGTAATTCGGGTTTATTGGTGAGCTCAGCATCTTCGGGAAAAGTTCAAGGGCTTCCTTGGCAAACCCATGCTGTGCTAACCCTACAATCATGGCACTCCACGTCCACACATTCCGCGTCTCCATCTTATCGAAAACTATCCTAGCATAACCCAAAGCCCCAGACTTTGCATACATGTCCACAAGTGCAGTACCCAACTGACAATTCAAAGCCAACCCTCTTACAATTACTTGGGAATGAACCCATCTCCCAATGCTCAAGTTCCCAAGCTCTGAGGATGCGTTCAACACAACCACCATCGTAGTCTCATCCGGCTCAAACCCACAATCCCTCATCTTCACAAAGTATTCAATCCCCTCGTTGAACCAGAAATTCTCAATGCAAGCGGTTATAACCGCATTCCACGAAACAACACTTCTCTCAAACATTTCATCAAACACTTTCCGCGCATCCTTAATTTTCTTACACTCACCATAAAAATGAACCAGATTGTTCTGAACATACACATCACAGTCCAACCCACACTTCACAACTCCCACATGCACTTGCTTCCCTTCTTTCAGTGCAGCGGCCGAAGCGCAGCACTTGATCAGGAAAGGGAACGTCAGCAGATTGGGTCGAACACCGCTGTGGAGCATCACGCGAAAGACCCAGATGGCCTCTCGGGGGGAGTCGCTGGGGGCATAGCCACGGATGAGGAAGTTCCATGACGACGGCGGTGAGGACTCAGAGTGGCGGAGGAGGGTTCGGGCGTAGGCGAAGTTTTTGGCGGGAGAGAGGGCGCAGAAGCGGACGAGCTGGGTGAGGAGAAAGTGGTCTTTTCGAAAGCCGGAGACTTGGATTTGGGCGTGGATCTGAGAGAGGTGTTTGAAGGTTGAGCAGAGGCTGAGGAGGTGGAGACATTGCTGCTTTTTGGAGCCAAAGTTTGAATTACAGTTATTGGCGGTTGGGATTGGAAGCCGAACCATGCATTTGGATTTGGGGATTGGGATTTAGGGAGAAGTCTCGGCATATAACAAAGTAAAAAGCAATAGTGTAGGTTAAAGTTTAAGAGGCTTTTAACGAAACACTTTCAGTACTATTTATTTTAACAAAAAAAGATATTTTACTCTAAAAATTCACTTCTTATACTATTCACTTACAACATCTTTTTGTCCTTTTGATTAAAACTCAAAGTTTTTTTAGCCATTTTTATTAGTTTTCCTTAAGGTTTAAGAGAATTGTTATTAACATTCCAAAAATCTCATTTGACACTCCAAACTTTTTAAAACTAGAAAGAAAAATACACTTTTGAAGAGTGTATAATGAGATTTTTTGAATGCTAATAATAGTTTCCAAAGCTTAGTTCAGAAAAATTATTGAGATATTACATTTTTGTATCATTTGATGGGATGTGATGTGTACATATCACATCAATTATCAAATGTATCTTATTGGACGATAGTTATATGCATCACTTGCCACATGAAATAGTACACTAATATGGTCTAAAATCATGGAGAGATTTTTCAGTGTGCTGAAAACACCACACGGTACGCCAAGTGTCATAATACAACTGATTGGATATTTGAAAAAAAAATTACAACTACTTGTATTTTAACACTTGGTGTATCGAGCCGTGTTTCCGGCATACGGAAAATTTTCTCAAATTGTGGTCTCCCTTGAGAAACACCAATTGTATTGTTACATTTGGTTTACCAAACCGTGTTCCCGATATACTGAAAAATCTCTCCTCCCTAGCATTACTTTTTTGATAATTCCAAAATCATGCATTGAGTTTGAGATGTGTATTTTTTTTATTAACAAACGATATTATCTACACTAAGGGAGTAGGGGAATAGATTAAGTCTCACACTGGACTAATAATAATGTAGTTCAAATTCGCCTTTAGCGAGAATCGAACCTAAAATCTTTACTTACAAGTGAGAAAAACATATCACTAACTAGATCGTAATACTAAGTAGTTGTATTGAGATTTGTATTAACTTGTCTACATGACAATGCTTTAGAATACTCTTAGAGTAGTTCCACCGGAGGTGGATAGCCTAGCACCTTGTCTAAAATCAAGGCCAGCACACTATCAATTTACTCCACCCCTTCAACTTGATTGGCCCCCAGCCCAAGCTGGTCTCTGGGCCAGCCTAAAATAGACTGACCAAGAAGCCGGGCTGTTTGCCTGGCGTGTGCATTTCACGGGGCCGTGGCGCGAGTGCCCGATAGCTTTTCAGAGGCGGGACCCCTGTCGCAGGCGCACTCAAAACTCACCACAAGTAGGCGACGTGGCTCACTTTCTGCCATTGGATTTCCAACGGCTATTTTTTCTAGACCATTGGATTTCCAACGGTAAAAAAAATTAATTTTTACTTTTAAAATAGATCGTCCAATCACAGATCAATGGTCCACATTTTTTTCACAAAAAATTAAAAAAATTAAAAAAAAAAGGCCCAACGATAAGAAATATGACCATTGGCCACGTGGCAACTCCTTGGCTCTTGGATTTGAATATTTTTCAAATCCAACGGTCCAGATTAATTAACTATATTAAAAATTATTAAAAAATACAGAAAAATTATTAAAAAATACATAAAATTTTTAAAAATGTTATTTTTTTTCTATAAATACCTAACCCTCATCTTCCACCTTTACACCACATTTCAATATTTTCTACACTTTAAGAGAGAAAAATGTCTTCGTGGAAGCTCATTGAAGATGTTACGTTGTGTGAATGTTGGGTTCACACTACTCATGACCCAATTACGGGTAATGAGATGGATAAGCGAGAAATGTGGAGTAAAATTACGAAAGCGTTTTGTGATGTACATGGAAAAGACGCCAGAACTAGTCAAGGTCTTCAAGGTCGTTCGAAAAAACTCAACGCATCCTTTACTTGTTGGAAAAACGTCATCTTTCATGCTTCCGATAACCTCCGTAGTGGGACAAGTTTAGCGGATCAGGTGACAATATTTTTATTTATTTTTACGCATTCCACCCACATCAATATTTTGATTTATTTAATTTCGTATGTAATTTTTATGTTATTTCTTATGTAATTTTTATATGCATTCCACCTGCATCAAAATTTTAATTTATTTAATTTCTTATGTAATTTTTATTTAATTTCTTATGTCATTTTTATGTAATTTATATGCATTTCACCTATATCAATATTTTAATTTATTTATTTGTGTTACACCCGCATTTTTTAACACTATCTTATCCCACATTTTTATAGACACTACAAGCTCAAGCATTCTACAATTCAAAGAACCAGAACAAATCATTCACCATATGGGAATGTTGGCAAATTGTCAAAGATTGCCCTAAATACAAAATTGTGGTAACCGGTCCAGAAGTTGTCAAGCACGGCGTGGGTCTACATAGTTCGCCAGAACCAGACACAGCCGAACAAGAAGCCGACACATTTCAAGACACGGAGGGACGCCTGAACAAGTGCCCGAGACCCAACCGACTCGTCACTCCCCCAGGCCTCAAGGTAAAAAGGCATCAAAGAAAAAAGGTAGTTCTTCCAAAAATGACTACACTAAATATATGGAGGAACTTGCTCGCCAAGGTGAATTGAACATGGCACGGGAAAAGGCTAGAGATGAGGAAAAAGTTACTGCTATGGCAGCAATAATAGCAGCTACCGAGGCCCGTGATGCGGCGGCTGAGAGACAAAAAGAAATAGTTAATTGAGAGAACGAGCTGGTTAGACAAGCACTTCATCGAGAAAATGAAATGCTTAGAGAAGAAAGGATGGCTCAAGCAGATCGTGACACTATGAGCAAGTCTCTAGTAGGACTGTCTCCGAATTCAAAATATTTTTGGACATTGGAAAAAGAGATGTCGTGCGAATGAGGCGTGGAAGAGATGAGGAAACAAGTCAAGGGGGTTCTAGCTACACAAATCATAGCAACCAAGATCCTAGCACCACATATCCTAGCTCCAGAGACTTTGTATAATTTTATGTAATTTCTTATTTTTTTAGAATTTTATTTAATTTCTTATGTTTTTTTCTTTTTTTTTCTTTTGAACTTTATTTAATTTCTTATGTAATTTTTATGTTTTTTTCTTTTTTTCTTTTGAACTTTATTTATTTTTATTTAATTTATTATGCAATTTTAATGTAATTATTTATTTATTTTTGTACTTTATTTAAACACATGAAATAAGATTACATAAACTCACCAAATAAGATTACATAAACTCACGAAATAAACTTAAAAACAAAACACACTACATAGAATTACATGAACTTAAAAAAAAATACACTTTATTTTTCAACCACAAGCCTCATTTTAATTATCTTCACCTTCATACAATCTCCACTGGTGCTCAATCAAGTCATTCTGGCGGGTTACGTGCCAGTATGGCATTTGCACATCAGTGTACCGCTGAACGATCAATTCATTGTAACGTCCATCACATTCCAACAGCTCGTGTTGCACGGGATCTTCGGTCCTGTCATGAGCACAGTAGATACGTGTTCTTGAGTTGTTCATCGGATCTGGCTCATATTCATCGACGACATCATAATCATACTCATCTTCAACAATCATGTTGTGGAGAATAATACATGTCATCATGATGGATCGAAGAGCCTCGACATCAAACAATCTAGCTACAGCCCTGACAATCGCCCAATGAGCTTGCAGGATACCAAAACAACGCTCGACATCCTTTCTACACCCTTCTTGACATTTTGCGAAGTCTTTTTCCTTTTCAGTCTGTAAATGTGGCACTGTTTTGACAAATGTTGATCACCTTGGGTAAATGCCATCTGCAAGGTAGTATGATCCCTCGTATTGGGTACCATTAACCCAATATGTGCATCTCGGTGATTTTTCTTGTAGCAGTTCGTCGAACACTGGGGATTGGGCAAGGACATTTAGGTCATTCTGAGCTCCTGGAACACCAAAAAAAGCATGTCAAATCCATGTATCAAATGAAGCCACCGCTTCCAAAATGATGCTTTTGGCTCATTTTCTGTCGCCATAAGCTCCTTGCCACATACTTGGATAGTTTTTCCAAGTCCAGTGCATGCAGTCGATGCTTCCAATCATGTCAGGGAAGCCTCGCATCTCACCCTTCCTCAGAAGCCTTCGTATGTCCCTTGGCGTGGGTGTCCGGAGGTACTCATTGGTGTAGAGGGCTTCAATTGCAGAGCAAAATCGCATCAGGGACTCCAGAATAGTTGTTTTTCCCATCCTCGCGATCTCATCCCCTTGATCTGCAGATGCTCCATATGCAAGCATTCGCAAGGATGCCGTAATTTTTTGCTCGGGAATAAGACCTAGAACATGAAAAGCATCATCTTTTTGCACAAAGTATGGATCATGGTTGCAAATAGCACTCATGATTTTGTCGAACAAATTTCGTTGCATTCTTAAACGACGTCTAAAAGCATGATCAGGGAATGTGCTGTTAGGAATAAAATAATCCTCCAAGAGATCTTTACCTCGTCTTTCTCTTTTTCTATCAAAATTTGCAGCACGTCTTGGTTTGGCTATCTGACCCACGGCTTCCATGACACGGCGAGAATGTGAGGCCCTCTGCCTTCTATGGTGATCATCCTCATCCTCCTCCATAAAGAAAGCCTCATCTCCACCTCCACCTTCCTCGAGATTGGCCAATTCTGACTGTTGTGCCAACAACCTTTTATGTTGCTCCTGCAACTATTTATACACTCTCCTTGAAGAAGACATTGTAATAAGCACTCAAGATTTGAAAACAATGAACAAGGATTCTGAGCTAAAAAGAAGGATTGAGCTTGGTGTGAGGATGGATGTAGAGATGTAGGGTTTATATGGACAAAAAAAAAAAAAAGATGAGGTTCTGGACAATGCCATGTGGCACTATGTGATTGGTTGAAAATCTTATCGAAATCTTGGCTAAATTATTGTAAACCGGAAGTGAAACGTGGCGTGTCGGGATTGGTCGAAAATATTATCGGAAATCTATCCACAAAATAGTATGTTCGGATAATGACACGTGGCATGACGTGATTCGTTGAAAATCTTATCGAAATCTTGGCTAAATTATTGTAAGACGGAAGTGACACGTGGCACGTCGGGATTGGTTGAAAATCTTAGCGGAAATCTATTCACAAAATAGTACGTTCGGATAATGACACGTGGCGTGACGAGATTGGTTTAAAATCCAATCCGAAATTAAAACTATTTTATTTTTTTATTCTTTTAGAAAAAATTTAAAAATATTTTAAATGGGCTGGGTGCCAGCGCATTTTGTAGGGATGGAGATCGTTTGTGCAAGCGCATTTTTTCATTGGGTGCCAGCTCATTTTTTTAGGGGTGGAGATGCATTGGCCTATTACTGTTCATTGGAGTCTGTTACTGTTCACTGAAGTGGATAAATAGGCTGAGTGCTGGCACAAAGTCCTTAGAGGTGGACTTGCTCTTATGAGTCATGACGTTCCAAGAGCATGAAATTTCTTTTTATTAGTCATAGGGGAAATGATCTAATCGTTGTTGTATGCTAACATGGAGAATCAAATTTAAAAACCTCGAATTATTTGAATTATTTTCAGAAAAGCAAAACAGATAATTATATAAACCAGTTAACAGTTCTCCAAATAACCGTTGATGAGTACCTAAATTTTGAATTTTAAACTACTGACAAAAACCTTTATATATATATATAATTCAGAAACCGTTCCAAAGTGAAAATCCATATTCACAAAACCAATCAATCGAACTTTCCCAGAGAGAGAACAACCGCAAAAATGGACCAAAAGACTGACGGCGTCGGAATCAAAATCTACAATAATGTAGTCTACGGGGATCCACACGACGACGAGGCCACCAAATCTCCACCAAAGCCACCGCAACCTTCTTCTTCATCTCAGCCTCTGCCCCTGCTCCGACTGAACCCGGACCACTTGCACGGCCGTAAACGGCGTGCCGTTGCGAAAGGGGTCCAGAAAACCCTATCCAAGACTTCAATGCTGGCCAACTTTCTTCCCACGGGCACTCTCCTAACCTTTGAAATGGTTCTCCCCGCTATCTACACAACCGGGGAGTGCACGCGTGTCACCACCATGATGACGTACGGGATCTTGGGCATGTGCGCCCTCTCATGCTTTTTCTTCCACTTCACGGACAGTTTCCGTGGTCCGGACGGGAAGTTGTACTATGGGTTCGTGACGCAGAAAGGGCTAGCGGTGTTTAAACCGGGCCTGATGGTGGAGGTGCCGAAGGAGGAGAGGTACAAGTTGGGGCTGTCGGACTTCGTTCATGCCATTATGTCCGTCATGGTGTTTGTGGCGATCGCATTTTCGGACCGCCGCGTGACGGACTGTTTGTTTCCGGGGCACGAGAAGGACATGGATGAAGTGATGGAGAGTTTCCCGTTGATGGTGGGAATCGTGTGCAGCGGCTTGTTTCTTGTGTTTCCGAGTACTCGCTACGGGATTGGCTGCATGGCTGCATGGCTGCGTGAATGAAGCAGATGCGTAATTCAAGATACAGTTTTATTAGTTAATGATGTTTGTATTTCTGTAAGTTGTATTAATATGTTATGTTGTTTGTGTTTATATATATAATATATGTTATATTGGAAAGAAGTGTTTCGGGAACCAGGTTCGGTACATCAACCAATTATATTATTATATTTAGTTTATCCGTCCATATATCTGGCACAATAAAAAATCTCTCGTTATATTGATATGTTGTATTACGATTCACTTTGACAATGATTTTGCTTTGAGTAATAGTATATTAAGTTGCAAATTTTAGGCTTTATATATTTGATCGATAGATCATTAGTTGACCTAGGGCATGTGCTTGACTTGATTTCCTCTCCTAATATCGCTTAAATCTTCTTTTATATTTGCAAAAGAAAATCAAAATAATTATCAAATATAACTTATGTTGTAATCATTAATTTTCCTACTCAGTAAATATATGACATATGTTGTAACCATTACCTTGCCTAATTCCCATATTCATGTGAAATAATCATTAATTTACCTTCCAATATTGGTCTAAAAAGTAGTGTACATATCTGGACAATCGAGCATATATAGTTTCTCATCCAAATTAAGGTGGATGAGTTTTAGATATTGATCAACCCACCCATCAATTATATTCTTGTTAAGTTGTTAATATTTCTGAGAAATGGCTAGCGTCAACAAAATTGTATTTTGCATGGCGGTCGTACTGTTTATAACTGTGACTACGACCATGAAGGCTCAAGCAACTACGCGGCTCCCAGACCTCTCATATCCATATGCAGTTTATCTCAACGACACCAGGCTGTCTTCCCCCGCCAAGGCCGCCGTCGCCAGTATGTAATTAAAAAGTTTAATGAATCCCTAATGGTACTCTAATTATTAATTAATTATATACTATACACATTTAATCGACTTAATTTTGTTTGTTGAATAATATGTTGTAGAATGGGACGGGAGATGTGCATGCTGATTGTGCTGTTAAAATGCATGAAATAAACATGTTGGAATAATGGTGTTGGATGACTAGTGAAATTAGGCTAGTCAACTTTCTTGTTCAAAGTTAGTCAAGTTAGGTTAGTCAAGCAAGATAGGTAAGTTAGGCAAAATTAGGCTTATGATCTTTTTCTTCCCTATATATATGTTTCATCTTGTAATTGTTTCATTAAGCAAATATACATCAAAATTCAATATGGTATTAGAGCTGTGATCTGGGAAAAACCACAAAACACAGCTCTAAAGCAGCCACGAGGTCAACCATTCTAGGCATGGCCTCTCATTCAAAATGGGAAAATCCCAACCACCCGCTCTATCTCCACCACTCGGATCAACCTGGTGCAATCCTCGTACCACAACCATTGGTGGAAGACAACTACAACACATGGGTTCAATCCATGAGTATGGCCTTAACGGTCAAGAACAAACTTGGTTTTGTTGATGGAACGACCAACAAACCAAGTGAGGATAATTTTGAGGAGCTACAGCAATGGAATCGCTGCAACAACTTGGTCAAGACATGGCTACTAGGCTCTATGTCAAAGGAGATTTCAGGGAGTGTCATCAACTACAAGGATGCTCGACAAATGTGGACCGATCTGCAGGAGAGGTTCTCACATGTGAATATAGTTCAGCTGTTCCATGTTGAGAACGAGATCCATGATTGCGTCCAAAGCAATATGAGTGTAAGTTCTTACTTCACTAAACTTAAAAGTTTATGGGATGAACGTGATACTTTGTGTTCCATTCCAGCATGCAGTTGTGGAACAAAGAATGAGATGAACTCATATGTTGAAACTCAGAAAACCATGAAGTTCCTTATGGGACTGAACGAATCGTATGCTACGGTTCGAAGCAATACTCTTCTTCTCGAACCACTACCTACGGTGAACAAGGCATATGCGTTGGTCCTTCGACATGAACGCCAGGCAGAGGTTTCCAATGGGAAAAGCACACAACTAGAAACTGCTGTCTTTGCAGTGAAGAATCTGTCGCGAGAACCTACACCTGAAGACAAGGAGATGCGATGTGGAAAGTGCAATAAAACCAATCACATCACCAAAAATTGTCGTGCACATCTCAAGTGCACTTTTTGAGGATGGAAAGGCCACACCTTCGATTTCTGTCGAAAACAGAAAGCAGCCACAGAGACCGAATCCAATCGTCTCTTTTCTTCAAAGGGGAATCAAGTTTCACAAAGTAACAAGCAAGAGACAGTGCCTAATTTCCCGTTCTCTCAGGAGGACTGCAAGCAAATCCTTCAGATGTTGAACAAGAACAAATCATCATTTGCCAATCAAGTCAGTAATCTTCCTAGTCATGAAGAACTTTCAGGTAAATCCTTCTCTTTTTCATGTAAAAGAACCACATAGTTTGCAGTCCTAGTCTCCTTACACACTCACGAGCTGTTGAAAATCATACAGTTGAACTGCCAAATGGTTCCGTTGCCAAAGTCACTCACATTGGACAAGTTGTTTTCTCTCATAATCTTATCCTTGAAAATGTCCTATGTGTGCCGTTCTTTATGTTGAATTTAATATCTATCAGTAAACTAGCCTATGATTCCTTATATGTCACCATTTTCTTCACCCAATTTTGTGTCATTCAGGACCTTCGCTCGGGGAAGATGATTGAGACAGGAACTGAAAGGGATGGACTTTACTACCTCGACCCATCAAAGAAAGGAACATGCAACAATATTCAAACCGTCTCACCAAAGCTTTGGCACCAACACCTAGGACACCCATCTCATAAAGTCACTTCGTTATTACCTTTATTTAACAATAAGGCTTGTGATTTGGAAAAATGTTTAATTTGCCCATTGGCCAAACAAACAAGATCACCCTTTCCTTTGAGCTCTATTTCTACCAAATCATGTTTTGAATTATTGCATATTGATATTTGGGGTGGTTATCAAGTTGCTTCTATTTCAGGTGCCAAGTATTTCCTTACCATCGTAGATGACTACACTAGAAGCACTTGGGTTTATTTGATGAAACATGAATCTGACACAAAAGACATTTTAGTCGGATTCATTCAAATGATTGAGACTCAATTCAATACCAGAGTTCAAATCATACGAAGTGACAATGGCCCTGAGTTTAAGCTTGAGCAATTTTATGCTCCCAAAGGCATCATACATCAATCTAGTTGTGTCAATACACCACAACAAAATGGTGTTGCCGAACGTAAACACCGGCATTTGCTCAATGTTGCTCGGGCTTTGCTCTTTCAAGCTTGTTTGCCAAAACATTTTTGGGGGGATGCAATCTTAACCTCAGCCTACCTCATCAATAGAACACCCACTCCACTTCTCCAAGGTAAAACACCTTACGAAAAACTGTTTCACAAAGCACCTAACTATTCCCATTTAAAGGTTTTCGGTAGTTTATGTTTTGCTTCTACACACGCCCAAAGACCCTCTAAATTCGACCCCCGTGCAATCCAATGCATTTTTCTTGGGTATCCTTATGGTCAAAAGGGTTATAAATTGTTTGATATAAAACACAATAAGACTTTTGTTTCTAGGGATGTTGTTTTTTTTTAAGATCATTTTCCATTCCAAAATCATACCACTTCCGCTGCCCCGTCTCTATCAAACATTACACCCTCACCCATCACGTTTGACTTGACCTCTCCCATTGAGTCACACTCAAGCCTTGCACCCGAAGAAATAAACATCACCTCTCCCACACTTGCCGACATCACACCACTCTCATCTCCTTTACCTACTACAACTCCACCACCAGATACCTTATCAACACCTTCACATACCCTACACTCTTCACCACCTCCAACCACTCCATCACCAGACCAACCACCTCCACTCCGTCGTAGCACTCGACCGACCAAAACTTCCACATTTTTGCAGGACTTTCATGTTGAGGTGGCCCTCCCTTCCCGTGTTGCTCCCACATCTTCCACAAGCATGGTCCAGTCATCAGGTACATCTCACCCCATATCTCGTTATTTATCTTATGACCATGTATCCCCCACTCACAAAACCTTTCTCACCACCCTCACCATTATTAAAGAACCCACCAGTTTTTCGCAAGCTGTTCAGGATCCAAAATGGCGTGACGCCATGCAAAAAGAGATTGTTGCCCTTCATGAAAATCGCACTTGGACTCTTGTGCCCTTACCACCTCACAAACATCCCATCGGTTGCAAATGGATCTATAGGTGAAGCTTAAACCTGACGGCAGTGTTGAACGCTACAAAGCTCGTCTCGTTGCTAAAGGCTACAGTCAAATTGAGGGGCTTGATTATCGGGAAACTTTTGCTCCAGTTGCCAAGCTCACCACCGTCCGCGTCCTCCTGAGTATTGCTTCCATACGAGGCTGGCATCTTCATCAACTTGATGTGAACAACGCCTTTTTGCATGGTGACTTATACGATGAGGTTTATATGTCCCTGCCTCCTGGGTTCAGACGAAAGGGGGAGACACGAGTATGCAAATTACACAAATCCATTTATGGTTTAAAACAGGCCTCGAGACAATGGTTTATCAAGCTGTCTAGTGCTCTCAAGACTGCTAGTTTTCATCAATCATGGTCAGATTACTCATTATTCGTCCGAAACCGTCAAGGCAGTTTTATGGCATTACTTGTGTATGTTGATGACGTGATACTTGCAGGTAACAATTTGAGAGAAATTGAAGAGACTAAACTCTTCCTTTCCCAACATTTTAAACTAAAGGATTTGGGAAAACTCAAATACTTTTTGGGGATAGAAGTTGCAAGATCTAAACAAGGGATTGCCTTGTGCCAACGCAAATATGCGTTGGAGATACTAGAAGATACTGGGTTCCTTGGTGCGAAGCCCTCACGATTACCAATGGAACCAAACCTATCCCTTACATAAACTGATGGGACGCTCCGACATGATCCTTCTTCATACAGGCGACTCGTAGGGAGGCTGATTTACTTAACCATCACGCGGCCTGACCTGACTTATGTGGTTAATATGTTGAGCCAATTCATGGACAAGCCACGACAACCACACCTTGAAGCGGTGCATAAGGTTCTCAGGTACATCAAACAATCTTCTGGACAGGGAATTCTTTTGCCTTCTACAGGTTCACTACAATTACAAGCCTTTTGTGATGCTGATTGGGCTCGGTGTAAAGACACTAGAAGGTCAATAACCGGTTATTGTATCTTCCTTGGACAAGCACCGATATCTTGGAAAACGAAGAAACAAAGCACAATATCTCG